ATTCTAATGATACTGCATAAGAAGAGTCTGCCACTGGTCAGATATTTTTTCTGTCTCCTTCACCACCATAATCTCAAACACCACCATTACTGTATTCTCCTTTAACCAGTCCCTATTTCCTAAATCTTCCTTACCTTCACTCCAACTTCTTAATCCATTTTCAACTAACCACTCTATTAGAAAGTAATTCACAACAAGATGTCATCTTAATGATAAACAAGTGTGGAAAGCAGATTAAGGCTCAACTAAGGTTATAAACAATTAAAATAAAAAGAGATTTATGGATAACAAAAATACACTATCATATCCCTGCTATTTTCTCCAATCACTGAATTTTTTTTCAAAAAGATCTATTAAAAATCTAGATTCAGAGCATGATAAATTTCAGAATGAATTCTCGATCTGGAGGTGATTTTCTTATAACTTATGCAATGATAATAGATTTTAAGAATTAAGTTATTTAATCTTTATCCAATGAAAACCAATTTGTCCTTTAAAGGCCATAGTAAAGAAGAAATAGAAGAAAATGTACTATCATATTGTTTATTAATGCTGGACAAGGTTGATTTGTTTTCCTTTTTTAACAGCATGCCATAATATATTATTCTAGCTCTTTGTATGAACAGAGATAATTGACTCTATAATAGCGCAGGGCTGAAAATTGTTAATTAATTTTGATTAAATTAATTTAGAGCAAGATCTTTTTCTTGTGTTTATTGATTTGGTATAAAGCATATTTTTTCAGACAATTCAGACCAAGGGTTTTTTCCCCCTTTTCTCAATAAGCAGGTAGTCAAGAACAGATTCTTAATGTTCTCTTGAAATTGAAAGAAATACTGACTCTCAACAAATACAGCAAAGTGCTTGATTCATTTATTAGACCTTATCTACAGAATAACCATTGAAGAAGTAGAGTTGTTTTAAAAGAATTTCCCCAAGTTTTTATAAAACATTTTTATACTGTATACAGGATCTAACTTTAGGAAATTGTTGACAATGATTTATATGATCTTATCTCTTATAGAGACACCACATCTTGAAAATCTCTCATTATTGTACTGCTTATTGGCAATATTTGCTTCAGACATCAAAATTGTTTCACACATGCACACACAGAGAAAGGAATATCGACATATTGATTGCTTACTATCCAATGAGGGTGATTAGAAAGTATGCTTGTTTGATATTTTGGTATAAGTAGGAATGAATTTTTATCTATCTATTTATGCACTCCCTAGTTACATTAAAGAATGTCACGGCTTGTGGGTGAGTTAATTAGAACTTATTCAGGCTTGCATTAGGAGGCTAAGCAGATTTGGTTGGATGTCCTTGGGAGACAGATGTGGAGTTTTTCCCCCGTTCTCTTCCTGTACTACAGTAATCCTCTGTTTTACAAATGATTAAAAAGTGAGACACGGCTCTAATTGATCCTTATAACAGAATTCCTCTACTTATTGATTTCTATTTTGTACTGAGCAATACATATTCCAACTATTACAGACAGGGCAGATAGGTTTTGCTGGTTTCTCTGTTTAATGAACCACATAAAAGCAATCACTCTTAAAAAGCAGCATCAAATGAACAACTTATCCTTTTTGCCTTTTGTTGCTTATTTCTAAGTAATTACATCTCATTGCAGCCCAAAAATACAAAATAATATTAGACTATATTCTGCAGTATTTTTTTTAATCTTACGGGTTTTTTGTTGTTGTTGTTGTTGTTGTTGATTTTGATAGGCCCATCTAATCTATTATGACTTTGAGCAGTTTAACAGAATCCAACAATAAAAAGCAGAAATCAGAACAGGGGAAAGAGATCATCAAATGAGAAAGCTGAGAAAAAAACAAACAAGTCAAAAGACCCAAAAACATCATAGAAAGGAGCCATCACAAACTCTGATCTAGCGCCTGGAGACAGAGCTAGCATTAAAAGGCTTATTTAAATAATATCAGACCTTTCCGGACAAGAAAAGCTTGTTCAAATAGACAAGAGTTTGTTCACATTCCCTCTAGGTTTCCTCAGAGCTTCAGGTGTTTTTAAATAAAATACATTCAAAAGAGCAAGGTTTATGACTGCCATATTTATTTTTTTAGCCCCTTCCATCTGAAACCATTAAAGAGGTTTAAATTCTACTTCCAGATTAGCAAGAATCACATAAAACAAGTATATATTTCTCATCAAAGACTCTTTAATTAGCGTCCAATTGATATGGCACAAAACTCATCCCTTAATATTCAGGTCAGTTGGCTGTCAATCTCTTCCTGATGCACGCAAGATCTAGTCACTGAAATTAGTAAGCAAACAAATCACAAACACCTAATAGCCTGTTACTACTAAGTAAAAAAATGGAATGTGGCCTGTGGCCCCTTATGTGCATATCAGTGTCTATTTATTTGGTCGTAATTTTCCATCATTTTCTTTGACTATGCCTGCCAGGTTAAGGTGACATGCAGTAGTTTCAGATCACTGCTTTAGAATCTTCTGAGTCCAACCCTGGTATCCTCAATACCTGTTCCCAGCAGGTAAATGGCACTTCATGCTGTTCCCCTCTGTGACCTCAATATCCAATTCCTGTTCTCCTTCATTGGTTCAAAGCTGGAATAATGCCCTGCGTACAGATAACGCTGTGCAACATCTCATCACTATACAAGTTAGCCCAGAACTCTTTTGAGAAAGGGGTACTTTGTACACGGCAAGGTCTGGAGATTCCCCTTTTTTCTTGTTTGCTTCATTCTTCACCATTTTTTACTGACAGAATTATTTTGTGGACTGTTGAACTACATTTTCCTCAATGGGGTGACATTGGTGCTATAATCTGGAAAGTTTTCTAATGCTTGTGACAAAGGTGGGAAAAATGTTGTCATTTCTTTCTTTCCAAAGTTAATGGATCTTTACAGATATTCTGTCTTGTTTTCTGTAGTGGTATTATTCTGCAGTGCATTTGCTTACCACTGCTCATCAACATTTCACAATATGATTAAGTAGAAAGAACAAGCAGCAGCAAACAATGCTGACTTAGGCATTTGTTCTACTGCACGGGCAAATACAAGTGTTAATGCAAAGCAATTGATTTTTACATTTATCAATTTAAAGATTGTCTTCACATCTCAGATAGCATTCACAAAACTGATGCACTCCAGAGACACTGAATTCTAATTCCCATCACCAGCCAACATAGTCAATATTTCTCCTGGAATGATGGACTCTATAGTCACACATATCTGGAAATGTCATATTGGGAAAAATGATAAATGTGCATATATAACAAAAATGTTATTTCAATATTGATAGGGAATAAGAAAGAATTTGATGATGATGTAGACATCTCAGTTTCTAAAACTTGAAGTCCTTTAGAATTTTTGGCTGTAATAACCAATTTTAATATTGTTTCAAAACAGTACAGATAAGTCTGCAGACAATTTTGGGTTGGTTTCTAAGCAGAACACTAACAAAAAATACTTCTAGTGGGTGCTTTTCTGCCTGTTCATTCAATAATGCAACCGGCTGAATCCATTCTTAAGAGAGTGAAAATATCCACAGCCTTGGGGATATTTGCATTTTCTCTAATTAGCAGGAAATAGGTAGAGAGATAGGTCTCTGTGTGTTTGCACATGTGTTAATATATATGTGTTAATATATAGGGTTATGCATATAAATACAGAAGAAGTATGATGGGCAAATACCAACATGTGGGAGCTATACAATATCATTTTCTTTTATCTTAATATAAGGCAAAACTTAGAGAATGTCTCATTTTTATTGAATAATGTGAAAATTGATCAAACTGCAGTGCTATTATCCAAATCTTAAAATTATATCTATTTGAATCAATGAACTCTAACAATGGGAGAAAAAATAGATAAAAATGTGAGTTCCCTTATTTCCTTATCCCATCACCACTATATACAAATATTTCAAAATGAGTCATTACTTGCTTTAGCTCCATTTTTCAAATTAACTGAAATATAATTTCCCTAGTGGAAATAGAAAAACTACAAAGGTTGCTGATTTTCTGTTCTGTTTGCACTCACAAAATAATTCCATTCTATTATATTGTTCTGTCTTCCAATATAATGACTGACCCATTTGGAAGATTATCACCTACACAAAAGGCAAGCTTTTTTTTATTTAAAAAAAAAAAAGATTATGTGGCTTTGACTGACTGTCATTTAAAGGAAATATCCGTGATATTTTTTTTTTTTGTTATGAACATTTATTTATCCAGACAGTTTTTCTTATCATGCTTCATGCTTTGATTTTGAGCACATACCTGAAATAATTTAAATAGAAATAGAATAACAGAGTTGGAAGGGACATTGGAGGTCTTCTAGTCCAACCCCCTGCTTTGGCAGGAAACCCTATACCACTTCAGAAAATTGTTATCCAATCTTTTCTTAAAAACTTCCAGTGTTGCATTTACAACTTCTGGAGGCAAGTTGTTCCACTGATTAATTGTTCTAACTGTCAAGAAATTTCTTCTTAGTTCTAGGTTAGTTCTAGGTTGCATCTCTCCTTGATTAGTTTCCACCCATTGGTTCTTGCCCTCAGGTGCTTTGGATAATAGGTTGACTCCCTCTTTTTTGTGGCAGCCCCTGAGATATTGGGACACTGCTATCATGGCACCCCTAGATATATATTATCCCAAGCTATTTTTTCTGATACATTATTCTGTAAGCCTAAATAGTGTCCAATATTTGACACTGAGACCACCAGAAAACATAACACAGGCTTCAGTTTTGTTTTCAGTGCAAAATCACATTATACTGTTATGTATTAATAGCACTATGAAAATTTTCATAATTACACTCATATTTGGTCCCTTTGACGCACACACAAAAAGCCTGGAAATAATTTTTTGGTCTGCAATATTTCGTTGTTTTTATTTCATTTCATGCCCAACTCATGAGTGACCCAGTCTTAATTCATTACTAGCTATACCAGATTAACATAGTATTTTTTCCTTTATTCTGACATCATTTAAACACAGCTTTATGTTGGAAGAAATGTCCATCTGGGTTCAGTTCCAAGTGAGGAGAAAGACACTGGAAACATGGAGGCTGCTTGGAAAGCTGGTTTAATGGAGCAGAACCACTAACCACATGGTCCTGGTGCAATTGAACACATGAAGTGGAGAGTGAGTGTTATTTATACCGTCTTGGGCTTTGAACTTGAGCTTCCTCTTCCTGTGGCAAAGGCTGGTATTCTATTGGTTGCTGTAGGGGTCATATGCAAAATCTAGCAGTTTGTCTGAGATAAATCTGGTTAACTGTGCTGGGTGATGTAATATCCCCAGATGCCATGTGGTAAACTCTGCTGCTAGATGGATAGAGCACTAATCCTATTATGTCCTGAGGGTGAAGGTATTTTGTTTTGTAGATAAGATGGCCCAGTCTTTTGTCTTGTAGATAAACTGGCACCAAAATATCTGCTGGGGGCAGGGAGCTGGGGCTCAGTAGAGCATGTTTCTCAATTTCTCATCCAGGGAAATATAATATTCTGCCTTTTAATATTTCCTAAAAGATTTCATTCTTCTAAGAGGGGTGGGTGCTAACTTTCTTCACTTGAGACAGGTAAAATCTATTAGTGTTGGCCACCCATTGTCATAAAGGGAAATCAGTGACTAAGACATTAAGGTAAGGATAGTGATCAACAATGGGGAAAGCACTCCCAAATAGCTAAATATAATTCTAACAGTAAAAGATCCCTTGTATCTTATACTGAGTTATTTCTAATAAAAAAGTTCAACAATTTCAAAGCTATCTATGAGTAGCTTTCTTTCACTTTCTTTAATCAATTGCTGAAATTATAGATGTGTTCATATGCATCCAAGGCTTTCCTGAAGTCTTTCTTCTGTAGTTGACTTTCATATTTTTGCCATATTAGAAATTGTGTATGGTCCACATTTCTAGGTTTTCAGGAACCGTGTGAATATCAGATAGATGTACAGTGACCACACTGAAACCACACCTAAAGAATAGGATTTTTTTTTCTGAATGAACATGCATAGCACCAAATCCACATGTCAGTTTAAGGGAAGTAGGAATGGGGAATAATACATGTCCACTATAGTTGGGGAAAATATGAACTACCGTTGGTCACCAAATAATATACTGTATTGGGGTCGGGGTTGTCTCATGTTCACTTGATAAACAATCAAATATTTATAACATTAAATATGGATATAGTGAATTGATTCATTTTCATTCAAGGCAAAAAAGACTGGACAACAATTTTTGGCTTCCTGAAAAACATTTATGTTTATTATGATAGATCCCTTCAAACTGAACACAAATACAGAATCATTGTATCATATCACTTAAACATGAGTTTAAGTGCAGCAGCAGTCAAAAAAGGTAATATAATCCTTGCTTGTATGAACAGAAGCATAGAATCAAAATCATATGAAATATTACCCTGTTTCCCCCAAAATAAGACATCCCCTGATAATAAGACCAATCAGGCTTTTGAGCACGTCAATAAGGCCAAGTGCTTATTTCAGGGTTCAAAAAAAAAAATAGAAGACAGGATCTTATTTTTGGGGAAGCACGGTAGTACCACTTTATAAAGCCTTAGTAAGACCACACCTGGAATGCTGCATCCAGTTTTGGCATCACATTACAAAAAAGAATGCAAAGAAGAACAACTAAGATGATTAAAGGCCTGGAGACTAAAACATATGAAGAATGGTTGCAGGATTTGGGTGTGGCTCGTCTAGAGAAAAGAAGGACTAGGGGGGGAAATGATAGCAGTATTCCAGTATTTGAGATGCTGCCACAAAGAGGAGGGGGTCAATTTATTTTCCAAAGTACCAGAAAACAGAAACAATGGATGGAAACTAATCAGGAGCAACCTGGAATTGAGGAGAAACTTCCTAATAGTGAAGACAATTAACCAGTGGAAGAGCTTGCCTTCAGAAGTTGTGGGTGCTTCATCACTGGAGGTTTTTAAGAAGCAACTGGACAGTCATTTGTCTGAAATGGTATAGGATCTTCTGATTGAGCAGGGGGCTGGACTAGAACCTCCCAGGTCCCTTCCAGCTCTATTCTGGATAATAATTTTAGAATTACTATATCATGTAGGAATCTTGAGAAATATAAAATTAACTTTTAATGACTATAATGTATTTAACTGCATGTTTTCAACACACTACATGAGTTCAACAGGGCCAAATGCACTGATGGATTTGAATTGCCCTGAAATTGTTTTTCCATTGTGGCAATGTTCTGCTTAAACCTTTTGCCATGTTCACTTTTTTTTTTTGGCGGGGGGGGGGGAGTCCAAGTGTGAATGCAGAAAATGAATCTTCAGTTACATGTTACTTCATAGTCTTGGGTTCTGTAAGAAGTTTGTCAATCAGATGAATGTAGTTTGGTGCTCTGTACTTGTCAAGAAAAATTCTCAATGACATTCTTGAATGTCTTCCAGATGATTTCCTCTGGCTCAGCTAACAGATCCTCAAACTGCTTGTCATTGTTGATGTATCTGATCTGTGATCCAAAAATTAAATGCCTTCCTTAATCTTGGCATCTGTTATACTTGGAAGTAATAATGTTTTTATCCACCTATCCTTATCAAGGACCTGGGAGAGGAAGATATTGTTTGAAGGTGTAAAAGGTATCATTGCAGGATGCAGCTCTTCCAAGTAAAGCTGCTTTTTGCAAATGATGGTAATTTTATCAATGCCAATGTTGTTCAAGTCATATTCTGGTTGTTTTGGGATTTCACAGAAAGCAACTATTACTATTTCTTTGCTTTCTTTTGCCAAAATTATTAATTCAGACAAGAACAGTGAGAAGGACAATTTAATATGTATCCAAAATATGCAACCTTGCCTGCTGATTCCTTTCCCAGAGAGGGAATTCAAACAGGTTCTAGCTCCTCCTTCATGTCTCAGCTGAAAACATACCAACATGTATCGTAGCTTTATATAAACAACATGAAGAATGTGTGTGTATGGGGAAAAAATGCATGTGTACTCTTTAAACCTCTATTATCACAAAAAGCACCTACAACAGGGATAGGTTCTACTTATCTTTACTACCAGTTCAAAACGGGAAGCTTCTGCACATGCGCAGATCACCCATGATGACGTCGTGGCAGCTGGGCATAGCCTCCTGCCAGTTTTACTACCGGTTCTATAGAACTGGACCGAACCAGGAGCAACCCACCACTGATTTACAACTATAGATAGCAGGCATCTTCAGTTTATCTTACAGTACATTCTTACATTGCTTCATGAAGTTCTTCCTTCCCCTGTTTTTTTCAGCCAATCAGGACTAAACTGTAAGGAACAAGGCCAAATTTCAGCAAACTCATAATCCATTTCTTGTATACATACTGACTGTCCCTTTCAAAGCTGTAGAATAAAACATGCAGCCTACCTGGAGCTGTTAATTAGACATTTATTTAACTTTGTTGCTTTTTTTTAATGACACACTGTTGTTGTTTGAAGCTTGCTGCCTATTATTTGTAATAAAAACCTTTGTCACTTTTGTTGCCTCATTATTCTTAACAAACAGTGCCTTTCGCAGCCCTTTCTCCTCAACACCACCTCGCAGGCTATGGCTCCAAGAGTTTCAAAGAGCAGCTGTTATCATTTTGTCTACTGAGAGTTTTTTGAGAAACTTCTGTCACAGATTCAAGCCCAGCAGGAGCTGCTGAATAAAATATCAACCCTTCAAAAGGGAATTAACAGAAAGAAGAAAAGAGGCTGGGAGGAGGCAGCAAGAGGCAGCCAAGGCCGCCACTCCTTCCTTGACAGCCAGTAGTTCAATGGAAGAAGTCCGTAAGTGATTCTGAGGCAACCAAGGCAGTTGTCTGCACCTTGAAATAAGTCTAGGAAGAAACTGTGGGCTTTATTTCCTAGGAAATATTGTAGAATTACACTCGTTAGTCTGCAACTTTGATTTTGGGCTTTTCAGTAAAACTGTACTCTACTATCTACTTTGCAACAGCAGTGTGAAATGTTTGGGGATGTTGCTTATTTCTTTTTCTTTTCTTCTTCTTTTTTATGTGTGTGTGTGTGTGTGTGTGTTTTCTTGCAGAAATTTCCTTTTTCTTCTGACAAAGCAAGTTACAACCAGTTGTTACAAAGGCCAGTAGGCAGAGGAGATAACATTTGCCCCACTATGTTTCGAGTGGTTAAGCAATTCAACATATGAAGTAAGTATTTAAAAGCAATATATCTTTTTATGGTGAAAAAGTAGACTTGTTATAACCTAGCAAAAATAGTCAGCTGTGGTTACGGAAGGGGGGGCAGGGGGGAAGTGATACAAAGAACTACCATGTTTCCCCGAAAATAAGGGGTCTTTTGAACCCTGAAATAAGCGCTTGGCCTTATTGCCCTGCGCTCAAAAGCCCGATTGGGCTTATTATCAGGGGATGTCTTATTTTGGGGGAAACAGGGTAGTAAAGTTTACTTTTGAATTATACGCTACTTTAATGCTACTATTTAGGATCCAAGCTTTTAAAATATTCTTGGAAGCAGAAACATCTGAATGAGTACTGCAGTGACTGATTTAGGGAAAAGAAACAGCTGGGCGAGATCTTAAAATAAGCTGCATTCCTCAATCACTGACCACAATTGGGACTGGTAGCTTCACTAAGCAACTTGTGAAACACTACTTGACTATGCACCCAACTTATGACATCATTTCTAGTTGCAGTTGTGAAGCAAATCACTCACAATTGTTAAGATTAATTTTGCATGATTGTGGCTTGTCTTATGACTTCCAACTTCTGTATTGACTTTGCTTGTTGGAAGGCAGCTATAAAGATCACAAATGTAAGGCTGCAAACTCAAGAACTGATTATAAAAAATTTTCAGCACTGTTGTAACTTGGAACAGTTGCTGAATGAGCAGTCAGTAAGCAAGGATGACCTGTACTATTTTTCATAACTGTATTTAATAACAGCAAAGAACTGATACCATGTAGTACATTGCTTTACATCAGCGGTCCCCAACTTTTCCAGCTTGGTGGAACAGCAGGGCCAGTGGCAGGTACATGTATGAGCATGTGAGACTCCATTTGTGCAAATGGAGCTTCGCGCCCCAGCACCCACCATTCACACAAATGGAACTTTACACACATGAGTGCCCATCGCTCAAGCAAGTGGAGCTGCACATGCTTGCCCACCAAATGGGCCATGGTCCGGTATTGGGCCATGGTCCAGAGATTGAAGGCCATTGCTTTACGTGAATCAAATGGGTGAATCAAATGGGTGATCTGACTTTAAATGCTTAAAAGTATCAGCAAGTTTTCTACAAAAATGTTTTCATGAATTACAGCACACATATGATGGGTCAGTGTTACTTGATGGAAAATATGATCTACTATTCTGTGTGATCTATTATATCCCTTTAGGTATTCAGGATAAAAAAAGAGCAAAGGCTGCAGATCTTAAACAACTACTAAAGCACATCATTGTTGCCTGTGTAGCTGTTTCTGGTTTGATCTTAGCAGTGATAGTCCTTGTGCACATATACAATTCATTGTTTGTGAAGAAGCAATAAGTTATTGTTTCATTCTCTTCTCCCCTCCTATCACTGTCATTCTGTATCATAAGAACTCCCATCCTAACACTTCGTTACCATTTATATTTTTTTAACATAGACATAACATGTTAGGTCAAATTGATGCAGTAGTAGAGACTGCCGATCAAATGCAACTCAGCCATGTAAGACTCAGACATTGAGACTGAATATCCTGTAGAAGGAGGACATCCCAGTTCAGCCATGATGCTCCTTTCTAGAGCCTTGAGCCTTGTCTCTTGGCCTAAACTTCATGATGTTAAGCATAAAAAACTGTCTCATGTGAAGCGGGAAGTAGACATAAGTATTTTGTATGGGCTTATTAAATGTTTATCTATCCATCATATAATTCTTGCCCTATATGTTATTTGACCTTTCTAACAAACTTAACAGGGATTGCTTATCTCATGCTTGAAGTTGCCATTCATTTTAAGAATATTTTTAATTTATAAGCTGTTTAGACCAATTTTCATTGAAAGTGACCCCAAAGCATGCATGTCCTCTAGAACAGGTGTTCTCAAAACCCACATTTGCTCATGAGGCTTTTGATATAAGCACTAGCATTCTTTTCTTCACTGTTTATCCTTCCCTTATTTCCCATTATTTCTTTTTTTCAAAAGAAAAAAGAAAAAGAAAAAGCAGACTGTGAATTCCTTAGGAAGAAAGCCATCTTCTAATGTCCTGAAATTGTTTGGGGCCAAGAAATCTAGGAAACCACTTTCTCCCAGATGAAGCCAATTTATAGTTTAACATCTGCCACAGAGACTTTCCAGTATTTCTAAGATAGAGTGTAAGATGGGTATAATCTCTTTGAATTATCAAAAGAAGTTAGAAGAATTTCAGGAAAAAGGATGGCAAGAGATAGACTAAGGATAGCACAAGTTTACCAGAAACTGGATATTTTTGATAGAGAAATCTGATATCTCCTCAAGCTATGTACAGCTAAGAAAAAACTATGAATAAATGAAGCTAGAGAAATGACCTCTTGGCTCATGGCAACCTCTGAAATTTTTAGAAGTGGTATCTTTCAATAGCATAGCTCCTGTATGCATTTGAGATTTAATTATGGATATCATATTCTTTCCTTTTACACCTATAGGGATTCAAACTTAGGCTATGCTAGATTGCTAATCAAGGCAGGGAAATGTTACCCATGCAATAAAACAGCCATTGTATAAATTGCAAATGCTGCATAGATGAATTACTTAGAAAAACCACAGGATTTATCCCAGGTTTCCAAATTCCAGTCATGTCTAAGTACCATGAGAGCCAATATAATAATTCTGAGATGGTATATGCACTTTTGAACACTTCAAAAGAAATAAAAAAGTGGTTAGAAGCGAGGACAGCATTAAAAAATGGTTGGATCAAAAACAGACCAAAGCCTAAACAACTCATGGCAGAAAAAAAATGTATAGGAAGCTACCTGAGTTATTTATTTAATTTACATCCCATCTTTATTTTTTTCTTTATAAAAACCTCAAGGTGGCAGATATGTCTAATACTCCTTCCTCCTCCTATTTTCCCCCAAAACAACCTGTGATGTGAGTTGGGCTGAGAAAGTGTGACTGGCCCAAAATCATCCAGACAACTTTAATGCCTATGGTGGGACTAGACCTCACAGTGTCCTGGTTTCTAGCCTGGTGCCTTAAGCATTACACCAAACTGGCTTGTATTGTAGAAAATTGTAGATTGAAGAAAATAAATGTGGAATAACATGTTATTGGAGGATAGGATTAAACATTTAATCTCACAGTCATACAAAGGGACAGATTCATTAGTATAGAATCTTTTTAGTGAGACAATCTCAGAAATGTTCTGGTTCAGAAGAGGTCATGTAAATTAGAAAAAGACCTATTGGCAAATAAATCCATTTAGAACTTTAAACACTGTGTAATTATAGAAGGAAAACATGTTCTTGGCTACATACACTTTGAACTTGTACAATATTTTTTTAACCCTAAAAGAACCAAGTAACAGAGAGCACTCTCTCTGTCTCATTCTTCTGCAAAATGTGGTACAGTCCAATAAGAACTTGCAAAAAACGACAATAAGTTATCAACTTTCAAATTCTTATTAACAATACCTAGCTTCTTGCAATAAAAGGAATAATAAATTTTTATGCTCTATCCCATAGACTTTAGCTACAAACATGCTCGCCAATGGCATATTCACCTTGCCATTGTTTTGACCTACTTTTGTGAGATTCAGTTTGCAAGAGAACAAAATACCATATTGCCTGAAGAATGGCATTTAGATGACTCTCCATCCAAAAAAAAAAAAAGATACGGTATATTCAATGAAAAGATCCATTATGTTCATCAAGCGTTCATATTTCTAGTTGAACAGTCACTTTTCCCTTACCTCTCATTTCAGTATTGAAATTCAGTATTGGCTTGTGGTTTACCCATCCGGAAATTTATCGGTCCTGTGGTTACTCATTTCCTTGGAATGCCTTCTAGGACTTGACTCTCAAGTGTTCTCTTGATTATTTGACAGGAGAAGCTAGCAGTCACTTGATTAATAATAAAAATCTCTGTATGCATCTCTATATATATCACTATATCTCTATAATCATCATCATCATCATTTTAGCCATTGTCTATCTACTGCAGGATGAAGGCCTCTTCTGAATGTTTCCAACCAATACAGTCCTGAGCTTTCTTTTTGCCAATTGGGCCAGCAATTTTTGCTGATGCTGTTGATCCATCTTGTTTTAGGTCTCGTTTGTGGATGCTTTTTATCAAGTGGGATCGATTCTATGACTGCCTTGGTCCACCTGCCATCAGTTCTTCTTGCTATGTGACCAGCCAATTTCCATTTCAATTATTTTACTGCATATTTCTGTCTTTAATTCATTTTGCTTTTAAGCTACATCTGAGCAATCAAACTGGCCTTTTAATCAATTATCTAGGAAAGCAAGTTTTTGAGTTTCCATATTTTATCAACTATAGATGAACGAAAAAGTCTTACAGTATTAGTTCTCAGTCAAAAGTTATTTGACTGACATAAACATTTCAAAAAAGCCTATCATATACTTAGCATGTTTAGTTTACTTTTCAATTAGCAGATATCTTGAGCAGATAGTGCCAGGAGGTACCATCAACTTTAAGTTTTTTTTAAAAAGAGTGTATTTAGTGCTAGGGAATTTCAACAAGTTTCCTTAGTATATTAAAAAGTTACAGGACATAAAGTGACAGAAGAAGTAAAGAATAACACTGCTGCAAAACAAGTAAAAATGGCAGTAAGAGCAATGAAAAAAAAGTTTATTGAATCTGGGGATAGGTGCTCAGAAACTTTTCCTCAGATTTATTTGCTGGATCTGAACCAGGACTTGTAAATTATTGGAAAGAATTTATTCAGCATTTGGAGGGTTAATCACCTGCATCCACTCAGAATTGGACAGCAGGTGAACTAGTCTTGTTGTGATAAGGAAGACATCAATCCAGGTTGCCACTGTTGACCCAAGAATTGCAGGTCCTTAAGCAGAGGGAGTCCCAGGTAACAAGTATGAAGAAGTGCCATAGGATGGGTGGGGAGGCCTGCACAGATCACACTTGAATTGGGGTGGTACTGCAGTGTGGTACAAAGCCGTAGCTGCCCCTGGAAGCATCAACTGCTGCAGCCCATCTAGCCTAGCTCAAACCTGTTCTGATCTAGGAAAAGTCAGCCACCCAACCGAGCCAGCATCCCTAACAACTTCAGGAACATTGCAACTCCCTCAACCCACCTATCTTCCATCTGATGTATGCCCTTTTGGCCACCTTGCACAGCATACTTGCTGACTGCAGCTGAAGTAGATGTTGGGCCTACAGCAGTCTACACTAGTTGGAGACTGGCAGATGTCCCATTCTTGCCAGACCTGGAAAACATCAGCAGCTGGGACTTTGTGCAATGATGCTGGGGTGGCTGGTGAAGTTGTATGACTTGAGGCAGCATTTCTCAGTAGTAGCAGTGGTGTTGGGAGCAATGGCCACTGGCTGAGACTGCTGAAGGACTAGGGACTCAACTTCAGCCGTTATGCTGCTGCCAATTAATGCCATTGTGCAGGGGGTCCAAAAGAACATAGACCAGCAAGAGTTAGGGGTGGGGGATTTGCAGAACTCCTTCAATGTAAATTCAGACAGGCTGAGAAGTGCCCAAATCTTTATCATATGACCAGGATGATGGTGTAATGGCTGCGAGTTTGAGCATGGGTCATACATCCTTTTTTTTTTAATGGTCTCTGAATAAACGGTCATAAGGCAAAGACTACCTCTATACTCTCTTATACTGTATCAAACTACAATTATTTTGTTTCCAACTATCATCTAATATAATGGTACTTAACTAGACTTCAGCATACTACAATCTATACCTCTGGGGATTTGTCCTACTAAACTGTGATTAGAACATAAATTGCTTTGTCCTCAAGTTTGCAGAATTCAATCATTCTCAGCCTCAGTGCTGCATTTGGTACAATAGACAGTTATTTTGCAAAATACTGCATTTATCTATACTGAAACACACTAGCTTAAATCTCTTCTGCTCATGAAGTGCATATATTATGAGCTTCCAGCACCTGCTGGAAAGCAATGTCCTAATAGTAATATGTTGGTAGCATAAGGGAAACTAGAGCCCCAATATGATTTCAATAACAACAAGTTGAGTTTGCTAGTCATCATCCCTATATGGATACCTGCAAGAAGAAGTGTTATTATAGTACAGATGAGTTCCAGTAGCTTTACATTCCAAACTTTTCTTCCAGGTGTTATCTGTTCACTAAGACAGACCACTGCATATGCTGCAAAGGTATGTGGTCCAACATTCATGAAGAGTTAATACAAGAGTTACCGTATGTCTCTTTATTGCAGAATCTGCACTGCAAATGCCACAAGATCCCTTAGGAGGCTGACCACAGAGTAATGTCTGTTAGCATAATATTGACCATAATGTTGATCTTCAGAGCTAATCAAATGTATTACATATTACTAATAATAATGATCTAACATAAGAAATTTATTACTGTAACCCAACCAAGAATGCACAGTTGTCTACCAAGAAAGAAGGGGTAAGAAAGAAAATGAGAAAGAAAGTACATCAATATGCAGAATATGAGGAAAAATACAGTACAAGAAGGATAAAATTTGTTCAAGATGAGATCAAACAAAAAGGGAGGTGAAATTGCATTATTGTTAAGAATGACTACATAGTTCTTTGACCTTTTTCTTTTTTCAAATCTTTTCTTACCTTTTAACTTTGTACTTTTTTGACAATCAATAAAGTTATATGTCTTAAAAAACCCTACCTTGAAAAAAAAGTGGCCCATTTCTCCTCTTTGTCAAAGAAGAGAAATACTGATCAAAATAGGTAAATAATTTATGAGAGAACATTTAGTTGCTTTGAATGAATTCAAGTCTCTTGGACCAGGGCATTAAAGTCATTGACAAGAAATCCTGGAGCAAGGAGAAATACTAATATTATTTCAGTATTTGAAGAGAGTAAAAAGTAGATCCAGGAAACTACAGACCAATCAAGTTGACATCAGTACATGGAAAAATCTAGAAAAGAGAATCAAGCAATAGGCTTATGATCACTGAGAAACAGGGTTCTTATTAAAAGCCAATGTGGTCCTGTTAAAAAGAGATTGCACCAAACAACTCATACAGCTTTAACTAGATCAGTATACCAAGGAAATGCTATAAACATAATATGATTAAAATTCAGTAAGGCATTTGATTAAGTAGACCATAGGTTCTTTTTTGATAAACTGGACCAATGTGAGTTGGATGGTCCCACTAGGAAATGGTTTTGCAATTGACTGATTAAACATAGCAAATGTATTGTTAATGGGTCTGTTTACTTGGAAAGAGGTATGCAGTGGGGAACTGTAGGGTTCTGTCTTGGGCATCTTCATAAATGACTTAGATGAGATAAGAGAAGTTTGTAAAATTTGTGAACTACACAAAATTTGAGGAGGAGGAAAGCTAATTCCTTAGTAAACAAGTTCAGAATTCTATAGGAATATTAAGAAATGTTACATTTTCAATGTATAATATACATATATGGATAAATGCACACACACACACATTTCACATATTCCACATATTCATATACTTTTCCAATTGTACAACTGCTTCAGGCAAGATGCAGATGCACAGAATCAGTACAAAGTTAATTTATTCCATTTCTGCATCCACATAATAAAGAGATTATCTGAGATCCCCTGATCATTTACTTATCCAAAATTACAGTGTAGTTTCAAATTAACTTTTGCTTAAAAGGAACATTAAGGGAAATAAAGATCTGCCTCACGCATCTGCTTCTTGATACAGCAAATTCTCTTCCACAGTCCATGTTTCATTTGGATTAGAAGACATTTGTTCATCTATATAAGAACCTTCTAATTTTTTCCTGTTTGGTAAAGAGGTTTTTTGGCAACTTCCAACTCCTTTTTCCTCAATAGCTGCAAATCTGGCTATTACTCATGATGATGATGATGATGATGATGATGATGATGATGATGATGATGATGATGATGATGATGATAATAATAATAATAATAATAATAATAATAAATATTTTTATATTATAAATGATATATACAGTAAAATAGAATAATGTATACTGTAATAGCAATAGCACTTAGATTTATATACTGCTTTACAGTGCTTTACAGCCCTCTTTAAGCAGTTTACAGAGTCAGCATATTGTCCCCAACAATCTGAGTCCTCATTTTACCCACCTCGGAAAGATGGAAGGCTGAGTCAATCTTGAATCTGATGAGATTTGAACTGCCAAGTTGCAGGCAGCCGGCAGTTAGCAAAAGTAGCCTGCAGTACTGCACTCTAACCACTGCGCCACCGTGACTCATAATAATAATTGTCTGGTTTATTCATGAATGGCATTGTGCCAAGTTACTTGTGAGATTGTCTTTTCCTAAAGACATCTACCCATTATACCAGGTCTGACAGGGTGGGCCTGCTCCTAGTCAGTGGTGAAATTCAATTTTTTTAACTACCAGTTCTGTGGACATGGCTTGGTGGGCGTGGTGTGGCTTGGTGGGTTTGGCTTAGTGGGGATGGCAGGCGAAGGATACTGCAAAATCTACATTCCCACCCAACTCTGGTGCCAGCCAGAGGTGGTATTTGCCGGTTCTCCAAACTACTCAAAATTTCTGCTACCAGTTCACTAGAACCTGTCAGAACCTGCTGGATTTCACCCCTGCTCCTAGTCCCTTTCCCTAGATATTATCATCTGATGGAAGCTAGGAAGTGTACCTTTTCCATGGTAGCTCCTGCCTTCTGAACTTTGGCAGGCCTCTACTCTTTGCCTTCCATAAAGTTTTGAAGACTTGACTTTTTCCCAAGCACTGGGATCAGATTGGATGACTGCACAGTAGAAGCTTGACGTGTTGCCAGGTTTTTGTTGTTTTTAATATTTTAGTGGGTTAAGTTTTATAGTTTTAATATGGTTTTATAGGTTGTTTGAACTTTTGATTGGAAGCTGCCCAAAGTTGATCAGAAGATGGGTGGCTCTAAATAAATAAATAATAAAATGACTATGCAAACACTGAGATCAGACTGTAGTACAGAAAGTCCTCGACTTGCAACAGTTCATTTAGTGACCATTCGAAGTTACAATGGCACTGAAAAAAGTGACTTAGGACCATTTTTCACATTTATAACCGTTCAGCATCCCCATGGTCACGTGATTTATATTCAGATGCTTGACAATTGACTCATAGTTATGATGGTTGCAGAGTCCTGGGGTCACGTGTTTACCTTTTCCAACCTTCTGACAAGCAAAGTCAATGGGGAAGCCAGATGCACTCAACAACCATGTTACTAATTTAACAACTGCAGTGATTCACTTAACAAATGTGGCCAGCAAAGTCGTAAAATGGGGCAAAACTCACTTAACTAATTTCTCGCTTAGCAACATAAATTTTGGGCTCCACTGTGGTCCTAAGTCAAGGACTACCTGTACTACCAAGTTATTGATTCAGAGAGATACCTTTAAAAAATGAAATGTAACATGGAATTTGTGTTTTTTTTTAAAAAAAAACTGAATTTTTTTTCTATTTTTCTTTGGAAGGTAATTCCATGGGCATTTGTAGAAAAGAATAAATGAATTATTTATCAGAGGAATACAGCTAAATCCGTGTTCACTGATGAGGTGCACAGAATCCAAAATTAGTGATAGCAAAGTCACATTCCTACATATCCCAATGGAGAAATGACCATCTGGTATGTACTGTGCAGTCAGTGGAAAAGGAAAGCCAATATACAACTAACATGAATACCATATCGCAGGAATGATATGGCATAAGGTGGTACAGGAATGAAGATTCTTCTTGCAAAGGTCCAGGTTGTATTATAATCCAGGTTTCCACAACCTGTCCAATATGAAGTATTTTGTCCTCAAAGCAAATTTCATTGTATTCTTAAGATGCCTGTACTAAAAGGATAGTAAAATTCTTTGACTTACCATGGTGCAATTGCCATAGTAACAAGAAATATTAGGTTTAGCAGCAGCCATTTTCTTCACATTCTCCCTCAGAGATAGGTTGGGAGGCATTTGGAAGCCAATCCTAATGACATATACTGCTACTTCGACTATCTAGAGCTGAAAGCCAAATCGTTAGAAATAATACAGTCTAAACAATCCCCTTCCATATAGAATATATATTTGTTATTGTTGAACTGCTATTTTATTTGGCCTCTCCTGTTGAATTATAGTCATTGTAATAATTAACATTTTTTAATATTACAAATCTATACTTAAGGTACTTATCTGTGTTTCTAGCATTTAAAAAAACATTTGCCTCAATTTTTTTTTTGAAAAAAAACTATCCAAGATACATAAAATCATAAATCTAAAATCCCATATTGAGACAGTATTCTACAAAGACTTCACTTACACTGACCATATTGTTTTGGAAAAAATGAAGACCAAATCTGAAAAGGGGGCAAAAAGGTTGATAAGGATAAAGCAGAATTCAAGAAGGAAAACAAAGAAAATAAATAATTACATTAATTAAATAAAAAAGCTTTCTGAAATAAAGGGCTGCCCCTTATAATAAAGGCTGCATGGTCACTGTAACTTTACTCTTTTATATTATTATTATTATTATTATTATTATTATTATTATTATTATTGTTGTTGTTGTTGTTGTTGTTGTTGTTGTTGTTGTTGTTGTTGTTTAGGTGCAGATTCTAAAAAATGGGGAATGTATAAATTGTGCCTGGCAAATGTACTGGACATTTTAGCCCCACTTCATGGGGAAAAGTTTTTACCAGTAGCATTGAGTCCTTCCGCCCTACAAAACATTGAGTCCTTCCACCATTACAAAACTGTCTTTCAGTATTGAAAGAAAGGTAAGGCATCATCAGTAATTAATTAAGAAAAGGGTAAGGGCTCAGTGAAAAGTTGTATTATGAAATCTAAGAGATCATCCAATATTTGTAAGATTCTTGTATGGAATTTATGTGAAAAACTATATACCAACGTTTCATGGATCTGCTCAGTATATTCATTCCGTCCAAAAGGATTATTTTCTACTTGGGTGGTAGGTGGGAGCAAGAGTAAATAACATGCAATGGAACTTTGAAGTAACCTAATTCTGAAATGCTATAGAATTAAGTGATACAGAGCAAGATTTTTTTTTATTTCACGATATTCCTTGTTGTTGCTCGTTGATTAAAATAATTGAAGATCAATTAACAATTTTTAATAGCTGGTTTGTAGTACTCCAGGAAAATGTGCTTATTGTAACAGATCCTGCTTGTTACAACACCTACATCCCATCTATAAAATTCATTACTATCACTTTAGTAAAGGAATATTCAAATGGAGAAGTAATCACCACAACACTTTGTTTCTAGGTAATGGTGATACATGAACATTTACTTAGAGGACTGTACCAGCTTTCTGAACCTAATGGGGAAAAATGATATATTATTTCAGAACTTTGTAACATTTAGACCAATTTCATTATTTTCTCTTCCACTGCTTATTCTCAAAAAGATCGACTCTAAAATTTACCACACACCAGTCCTGTAGGTCAATTACTGTATGTCCTACCCTCTTTATTATTCCTATGTAGTCCTTTCTCCTTGTTATGAATTCCTATAACAGAATACAATGCTGTGTTAGTAAAATGGGAGAGCTTTAAAATCTGTGTTCATTGTCATGCTAAAATAGCAGAAGTCTATGTTTATTTTCTTGCTGTTATAGAATTAAAATCAAAGTCTGAAGCCCACATAATTTAATTCAATATTCTCAACAATTCAATATTACAGATCACTCCT